TTTTTCAGGTTCTAGTGTGTATAATCTGGAAGGTTGCTAAAACAAAAAGTGTGCTCTGCCCACAGAGCTGTTGATTCGGTAGGTCTGTATGGGGTCTGATGACTTAATTTTCTAAGAAGTTCCCAGGTGCTGCTGCTGCTGCTACTGTGGGGTGGTGTGGTGTGGTGTGGTGTGGTGTGGTGTGGTGTGGTGTGGTGTGGTGTGGTGTAGTGAGGACCATACTTCAGGAACCCCTTTTTCCATTGTGAAGGTGGACATTTACCCTCCACTCCCAATATTTCCATAGGTCTGACTTTGAGTGAGAAGTCAGAATAAAGGGTAGCAGTAGAAATAAAGAAACCAGACTGGAGAGATGGCTCAATGGTTAAGAGCACTGACTGCCCTTCCAGAGGTCCTGAGTTCAATTCACGGTGGTTCACAACCAGCTATAATGACATCTGGTGCCCTCTTCTGGCCCTCAGGGACACATGCAGGCAGAACACTGTATACGTAATAAATAAATAAATCTTGAAAAAGAAAAGAAAACGTCATGCTTTAAAAAAAAAAAAAAAAGAAACCACTGGAAAACAACATAATTATAAAAGAAAATAAGAGAATCTGGGGAATAGTGAGAGTATTTAAGACTAGAATATGTTTTAAAACAAACCTTGTAATGCACAAAGAGGCTTAGTTAGCCAAAAAGATAGGAATCCATGATGAAAATATTTTGTAGCCCTTTCTTTAAAAGTGTATACCTCTGGCTTCTATTTTGCCGCACGGATTCTGGGACTGACTAATGACAAAGAGTAGCATGTTGGAAGGTCCCAAGAGTCTTCCTGGAGCTGAGATTCCAGGAGACGGCTCAGCCTGCTGGCCACCTGTGGAGGCTGCAGGAGCTGTAAAGGCTAACTGCGCCAGCGCCTGGAAGGCATTTCCTTTGTTTCCTGAGCCGGTAACAGTCTGTTCTGTAAACCGGTTCTGCCTGCTGAAAGAGAAGGTGGGTGAGCTTGAAACCTGCCATTCACCCGAGGCCATCGAGAGGGGAAAGCATTTCAGATGCACTGTAGGCGTAACCCCACAACAAAAGAAAAATTCTAAGAAAGAGGAGACCAGCCAAAGTCAGTATCAGAATGCCGGCAAGAAAAGAAAACACGGAGATGAAGCCCTTGGGGAGCCAGTCCGTGATGAAGCTGAAACGGTCCAGTGTACAGAGCACGCTGCCCACACACCAGGCCGGATCTAGACCGTCCAAGGAAGAAGACCTCACAGTTCAGGAAACAATGGGAGTACAGTGGTTAGCAGGCACAAGGAAGACACTCTCTGCGCGGCAATTCGTTAGTCTAATCACGTGAAATCTTCTATGAGGAAGGATAACTGCTCTCTGTCACCTCACCGAATGTGAGAACTGGACAGAGTTAGCAGAAGTTGGGGGTGATGGCATGTGGCTGTTAACTGACGTGAAATGAATAAGAAAGGTTAGGTTTTGCTCCGCGATGTGGCTCTAATACAAGTTAGTGCAGAAAGAAGCCACGGTTTTAGAGCCTAGACTCTATACGTGATGAGTCTCCCCAGCTTAATGAGTCTACTGTCAAAGCTACTGCAATTGTATGATATAATTATGAAGAAAAAGTGATGATCTGATTAAGCAGGATAATTAGCTAAATATATCTTGATCAGGTCCCACTGAGTTACTGACCCCAGTTTCTTTTGATAAATTACGTAAGTTTGAAAATTAAGGAATACATGACATGGCTCGTAACAAATAAAGAACAGCAAGACAAATTCCCCATTTTAAGTCTTTTCTTCCCATCCTCTTGTGATTATAATCTTGGAATAATTTTAAGAAATTAATTAATATAGTGTACTTAATTAATATAGCATATTTACACTCACTTTGCCTACACCTGAAGTCTGTCTCTGTCTGTCTCTGTCATGTCAGTCTCTCTCTCTCTCTCTCTCTCTCTCTCTCTCTCTCTCCCTATTAAAGTATTATTTGTCTACTAATTGGTTATATTCAAGTTTTGGGTCTTTCAACTTTACTCAGCATCTAATGATTCTCCTAAACGTAATTGACCTGTCTAAACTTCCTTTATTTCCATGCAACTTTTCCCATCTTGCAATGATGGGAAATCAAAAAGATGAGAAAGGAAGGAAATCACCCCTTCCACATTGCCTGGGTTAAAGAACCTCCTTTGTAACTGTAACATGTATGCTCTCGGTTGACAGGCTGCTGCTAAAACAGTCTATTCGATGGCAGGTTTCCAGGCAATATTATTCACAGCAGCAAGCCGCGCTACTGGAGGTCACCAATTTCTCTCCTGTTATCTTTCCAAAGAGACCTTACAGCTGCTGCTGTTCAGTGAAGTCATGTCTTTTTTTGTAGTCTACCATTAACTGCATAAAAGCATGCCACATCTGTTTGGTTTTATGATTTTGAACTATAGTTTCCTGGTACCTCTGTCCTTTCTGAGAGTATTTAGTTGTGCTTTTCCCATGCTCACAAATAAAGCATAAAGCATCTACTTTTATCACACCATGGAAATAACTCTGGGTTTTACTTACATATCTTCTGTAATAGAAGGCTGTATTATCTTCAGTTTGGACTGAGTTAATTTTAGACCCAATTATTGGATGGCTTCATGGGATGTCTTCTTCACACATCCTTGGGCAAACTTGAGTACTTTATTATCCCATGCTTGGCTCATTCTTCAATTGCTTAAGGTTTTCTGATCAGTATATTCTAAACTTATGTCTATCAGTATGAATATTTGTGGTTTTTTTTTTTCAGGATGAATACCTGAGAGAAAATCACACACACACACACACACACACACACACACACACACACACACACACGACCTCACACACAGTAGGAAAGTGCTCTACCACTCATCGATACTTCCAACCTCTGTTTTACTTTTAAAAACTTTTTAGACAGGGTCTCACTAAGTTGCTCAGACAGGCCTTGAACTTGTAATCCTCCTGCCTTAGGTTCCTGAGGGCTGGGCTTACAGGCCTGGGCCACCACAGCTGATAGTGGCATTTTTCAAACGTTATTTTCTCCACACATTTGCACAGTACTTTGGCTGGTCTGCCAGTAAAAATTCTTTTGTTGTAAATAATAGGGTTAAATCTGGCTAACGTAAGTGAAAACCAGCTTACTGAGAGGATATTGGTAGCTTTGAGAGTCTGGGAAGTCAGGTTGATGCTTATAAACTCCAGTACTTGAGAGGCTGAATCAAGAACGTCCAGTTCCAAACCAGCCTCAGCCACAGAGGCAGGGCTGCCCCATCTCAGAACTGGAAAGGGGGGAAGGACAGGTGGTGAGGGTTGAGCCCCCGGGTGCAGCTCCCCAGGAGCACAGAGCAGCTGGGCTCAGCGACTCCAGCCTTTGGCGGCTGCCACATCCTTTCCCATTGCTGTTCAGAGCTCCTAGCTACACCTTCACATTCTGGCCAACGTCACTCACAGTTACTTTATTTTTAACTTGAATTGATGACCAGGTCATAAATCGTTGGTAGGATTTTATTTTTTTGTAATCCTTGACTGTTACTATACTGCGCTATCAGAAGAAATGGAAGGCATTGTTTATCTCTATTTTATTTTTGTTTTGGAGTGTGGCATGTGTATACATGTGTCTGTGAGCCTCTACACACACCTGCAGAGGCCACAGGAAGATATTGTGTTGTGTTCTAGTATACTCTGCCTTCTTCCTTTGAGACAGTGTCACTCACTGAACCCGGACAGAGCTGCCTCCTCAGCCCAGTTTGACTGGCTGAAAGACAAGAATAAAGTAGTTGTGGGCAATCACGGTTAGTGGAAGATAAGGCTGTGATGGGGGAGGGATGTCCACACATATCCTAATTTAAATACAAGAGATTCTTTTCCTCAATACTTCTTATACGCAGAGCACCAATATTTGCACATCTTCTTCACATTGCTCTCACAACTGTCCAATGAGTAGCTAACAGGCATCCCCCCTGCAGATTCTGTTCCTGTGGATTTGGCTGACACTGAGTAAGGATACTTCAATATTACTATACCAAACAGCTGCAGGTGTCTTTCCTCGTCATTATCCCCTAAACAATACAGTATAACAGCTATTTGCTTATCATTTACATTGTCCTAGTAAATAATCTCTAGTTATAAGTAGGCTAGAAATGACCTGAAGAGTCGGGGAGGTCGTAAGTTACATGCTAATTGTCCATTTTATAGGATATGCTTTGTCATCCTTAGATGGTGATGTCTGAGCAGGGCCCTGGAACCAGGCTCCTAGAATTCAACTCTTAACATCCATCATGCTAGCCATGGGTTCAAAGTCAACCAATTCTTCTGAGTAAGATCTTGGTCTATTTCCTAGCCTTTTCAAGGCTTACTTTCATCATATATAAAGTGGAATTCAATTGATAATTTCCCCCGTGTGGTTGTATGGTCATTACACTAGTTAGTAGCTATAAAACCATGCAAAGGAAAAGGCAATGGTACTAGTTACAAGAAATCTCAGGTTTCGTTGATCAAATATTGATGTCAGTGGCCCAGCCTAACTGGCATTAAATGCTACTGAATGTACAAATGGATGTCAGTGAAGGCTTTTACCTTACTAATTGCATCCTATCATATGTTTCTCATGTACACACTTCAATATAGGAGTTACACCTCTTGTCTCTCCTTCATCAGCTGCCTCAAATGGAATGTTCTCCCCTGTTTCTCAGACCAATCTGCATAGCCCGCAGCTAGATTCCACAGTAATGCTGGATAACTGAATATCTCAGAGCTCTGAGCTAATAAAATATATTATTGGAGGATTGTTTTTGGGAGCAGGGGCAGTTGATGTTAAGTAAAAAATATAGCAAAGTTCTAGCTACTGGATCAGACCTGTGAACACATAGATGTATACACAGTAGAATTTATAAGAATATTTCTGATAATTAATTCATGAATCATTTCATTTTATAGAGTACATCCTATGTACAACAAGACATGATATGAAGTACAAAAAGCACAAATATAATTGCAACAGACTCTGACTAATAACCGTGGTATGATAGCTGGGATTTAATTTTAATTAATATATAACTGACAATGAAATATTTGGATCACCTAAAACAAGGAGAAACATTTTTGACAAATTTTATGGTCTTACATTATACAAAAATAGCTGAAATAGATTTGGCCTTAGAAACCACATTAGTAATCTAGGGCTATGTAACAATCTTAGCATTTAGCCATACAACACAGCAAACATTTATTTCACAAAGTTTCTGAAGATCAGGAACCCAGGAGTGGTTCTGGGTTTTCTGGCTCAGGGTCTCTCAGAAGTTGCATTCAAGCTATTGGGTTAAGTACTGGCCTTTGAAGGCTTGTCTGAGGCCTAGAAATCCACTTCTGAGACAAGCATCGAGCATCCAGATAGCTGCTATCGGAAGAGAATCAGCTGGCTTTGGGTAGAAAGGCTCAGTGCAGGATTTAGCAGACTTTCCTCATGGGCCTCTCAGATCGGCACACACATAAGGAAGTGACCCAGGGGAGCTTTCAAGGAAACTCAGCAACTCGGTGATCAGATCTCAAGAGTCACACACTCTCTCTTCTGCTTTGCTCTGTTCCTTGGAATTTCTAGATGCTGAAAGAGTGGATGTTTAAATGTTCTCATCTTGGAGACGTGATAAGCATGCAGTGTGATTGCCCAATTCAATCATTCCACATCCTAACCTATAACATCTCATCAAATGCCGTATGTTTATAATTGTTTTTCCATTAAAAATAAAAAGCAACCATTTTGTCCGGCCAACCCGCAGAAAGATTACGGAGGACAGATAGGAAATATCTTTTTAAAACCACACAAAGTCAATGGCTCATTTGAATAATATTAAAATATTTTGCATCTAGTGGGAATCTCTTCTTGCATGTACTTCCTATTCTTTGTGGATGACTTTCATGTGACACATTTTCTCTTTCCTAATTGAAAAGTTAATACATTGTTGTATATTTAATAAATATAAAAAATTAGAGAAACATATAATTTTATAATCTATATATAACTTGTTATTGGTTTGTGAGTGGATATATGACATTAGCGTGCAAATACACAAGTAAATACCCATCCATGAACCTAATGGATGGGTATTTTATAATATATTCTTATATTTATAAGGAGAATTTAGCCCCGTTATTAAAATATAATTATGACTGTAACATTCTGAGTAAATGTTCCTTGCCTTTTAAATCATTTTTTTTCTGTTTTTGAACATTTAGTCTCTTTACTTCCTTTTGTCAGTATAAACATCAGTGGAATAAATAACTTTGAAAAAATGCCTTTGTATCTCTGATTCCATCCACATACTATTTCACAAGTAGAATTATAGGGTAAATTTTACATCTAACTTGTGTTCAAGGAAAAACAAAATCCACTTGTTGCGGCACATATCACCATCTGTTGAACAATTTGATCCTTGCTAATAAGGATTTTGTTGTGCTCATATGCCAGTTTTCGTTTTCTCAGCCTTGTGAGAACTGAAGGAATATTTGGAGGGGAGGCCCTTTTAAAGCTTCCTTCCCAGCCTGCACAATATCACATATTGCCAGCAGAGGGCGTGCTAGAAAAAACATTGCAATCAGAGGTCTTTGACCTCCCCAGCCCAGTCTCCTGGAGACTGCATCCAGGGGTTTCTCCAACGCTAGCAGCCAGTAGGTGCAGATTTCTCTGTCTCTGTCTACTTGGCCTGCTTTTCTAGCTTTTGATTCAGGCAGTCGTGGCATAACCTGGAACCAAGTGCAGGCTGGATCCTTGGTCAAAATCATTGTGCCTACATTTTCTCCTCACTCCCCAAATACTCAGGACAGCGCTGTGTGGGGCTCCCTTTGCCGGGCACCCATCAGAGTTCTCTTCCCATCTTTATTGTTGCTGTTCTATCATAGCTTAATTCTTAATTCTTCATGCTAAACTTTGCCCATGTTATTGTAGTTTCTCTCTTCTGACCTGAATTGATGAACACAGTTAGATGCAATACTTTGCACACACTTACTAGTTACTTGCATTTTCTTTTCTGTGAGTTTTCAGACCATCTTTCTTTTTCCATGCAAGGCTTGCTGAGTTTTGTATTCACTTTGTAGACCACACACACACACACACAAATTTTGAGAGACGGCCTTACTCTGGGGCACAGGTTGGCCTGGAATTTACTATGTAGCCCAAGCTGGCCTGAATTTATAATAATCTTCCTGCCTTGACTCTTGAGTGGTAGGATTACAAGGATATGTCACCATACCTGGGTGGGTTTTAAATATATTATGATCGTTTGGTCCATTTTCAGTGAGATGAAACTGTGCCTTTCTTGACTGATGGGCCAAGTATTAGAAATACGAGACTTTGTTTCAATCAATGAGGGAGACTTCCTGGGACAGAAATGCCACAGTGTTCCTATGCTGTCACCCAGTTCAGAGTCTGGGGACGCTGGGAATGAGGAACTCACTATTACAGCTGTTTCACAATTTAATATTGAAAATACAACCTTATCTTAGTACAGGTAACATGACTGAACAATTTAAAATAAAGAATTCAGATGGAAGTTTTTTTGGCCTAGAAGAATATTGATTAAAACTCCACACTACTAAAGAGTTTGCAAATAAAATTCCATAGCATTTTTTTTCCAAGTGGCATTAGCAGACCTGTGAGTACCTCAAAAGTGTCAAAAGTGTCACACACAACAGCAGGCATGCTGTGATGCCCCTCCTGGATCAGCTATAGAAGCTTGGCTTTTATCCACAACAATCACCAGCAACAACTAGGTATTTGCGGTCAAACCTTATTCTACCTAATATAGTACGTTCTATGTCTGTGACATATTTGTTTGCAAAAATAAAGAAAACGAATACAAGCAACGTTTACGACACTTAAAACCAGCTTGGAGGTTATCACTAGAATAGAAGTGTGTGTGTGTGTGTGTGTGTGTGTGTGTGTGTGTGTGTGTGTGTGGTGGGGGAGGGCAAAATGAAGGGCCCATTTTGAGAAAGTTGGGGTTTAGGTTTTTATTTTTTATTTATTTTTTTGTGTTATGGATGTTTTGCCTGCCTGTATGTCCTTTTATGTAACCGATTCAGACCTTAAACCCATCAAGTCTCAGTTCTTTTCAGAGTGCAAGATAAAAACAAGTTTAAACCGCATGATATCAGCAGAGGCCACTTAAATCTGAGTTCACTAAGGAGTTTGCTATAAATGACATTTGGAATACACAGTATCCAGGCTTCCTTCAATTACTGAAATGAAGGCCAATTTTGCCTCAGTCCAACTCCGAACTGCAGCCAACCTCGTCATTTCAAAGAGGAAGCAGGCTGCTTGGCCTTCAGTTTTCCACGGCTTCAAGGTCATTCACACCAGAATGCAGAGGTCGACTGTCCATTCCTTTGACAGTATCTTCTCCAGCTCTGTGAGGCACGCAGGCTAGCAGTAGGTGCTGTGAGTGCTTCTAGACGGTGGTCTCTGTTTTCGCTGCCTGTTTACTCTGAAGACACTTCAGTATAAAGGCCCTTTCGGTATTGAATCTGAAAAGGAGAGGGAGAACATGAAAATCTGGGTACCTGGAGCGCACTGGCTCTACGGAAGGATGAAACGCGCAGGTGCACGCTCTGGACTTACTTTGCCATTACCCTTTCAGTCTCCCTTTTCTCTTCCTCATCTAATCTTTGAAGAATGGATTCCAAGAAAGAAAAGTGAAAATTAATGTACTGCGCCACCTGAAAAGGGAAAGAGAAGGGTGTGTGAAAGGAGTGCCGAGTCAGCGGGAGGAGGCGCGCGGACACACGGAGACGAGCGGACACACGGAGACGAGGGGCGTCCTTACATCACTGCTAATTTCTTCTGTGTCTTTATCCATGAGGAAGATCCGAGCGTTGCTTTTGGATGGTCCTTGCAGAAGCCTCTGCAGCAGCGGGACATCGGTCTTCTTTAGTTTTCTCTGCTCTGCAAACGAAAAGGAATGAACTACAGTTAAGAGTTGATCCTAGAAAAAGGAAGGGGGAGGGAGATGGCAGGGGTAGGGTGGGGTGCAACGTTGTCTTTTGGTCTTCCTTTGGTGTGTTTTGGAAGCAACAGGAATTGAGAACTCACTCAAAAACAAAAACAAAAAACAAAAAGTTAATTAAAAAACAAACAAACAAACAAACAACAACAACAACAAAGAAAAAAACCGGCAGAGTCATGCCCCATTATCCATGGTAGATATGTTCCCAGACCTCAAGGGACACATATGATGCTGTAGATGGTATATAATCCCGTACATCTGTTTTCCCAAAACACATACATATATATATATATATATATATATATATATA